AGCATGGAGCTTAAAATATATCGCTGTCAGCTAAGACTAAGTAGACTGTGTCCCTAGAGACACCAGAAAGCAATTAGATCCTACATTTGCATGTGGTTGTGGTTGGAAAAGCTGCAGGTTGTCTACCAAAGGGGATTTTAGTGGAGTTTTATGAGCAAACTTGGAAGTGTTTTGCATAAGAACTTACTTTGTGAATACCTTTGCTACATTCTAGTTAATCCTGCCCATCTGGAACCTAATTTGTCATTTAGAACATTTATTAAATCACTTTATTAAAGTATTTTTGGTTAAATAGAAAGTGTCCTATGAAAGGCTAAAGAGCAAACTTTGTATATTAATCTGCTCCCGAGATGAACCGCAATTCTGTTTGGTAAATAACATCCATTCTGAGAATCAACAGCTCTTCCCTTTGCTGTAATTCTTTCTTAGAAGAACATGCTTCAGAATTGATCTGGATGAACAGTTTCAAGTTTTGTGACCTCTTATAGGTTAGCATCCAAAAACTGTTTTTAAAAGTAGTGTATTTTGCCAATTCTTTAAGAATTACATATGACATATTTTTGTAATATTAATTAATTTCCCCCAAACTCTCCCCAATCCACCCTCTCCTTCTTTTCCTGCCCCCTTCAATTTTGTGTCTTTTTAGTTTTTGAGAAGAGATTATCTTGAAACAGATGTCCTGATCCCCCCCTGGCTCATACCATCTTTCTGTTGTCTCTTTCGCTATGTTCCCTGAGCCTTAGATGCAGGAGCTGTGGGGTAGATATATCTGCTGGGGACGACACCCACGGTCAACTGTTCCTTCCATTTTGAGCAGTTGTGGTTTTTCTGTGCCAGTCTCTATCTATTGAAAAAAGAAGCTTCTTTAATGAAGGGTGGAGCTACACTTGCCTGTGTAGAGGCTAAGTATTTAGAATGCAGTTAGATACTATACCGCTGTGAGAAGGAGGCAGTACTAGATTTTTTTCTATGTCCCATGATCTCACCTAGTCGGTTATTGTTACAGTTCCAGACATGAATTCTCTCTTGTTTGAGAAGTCCCTGAGTACAATTAGATGGAGGTTGGTTACCCCAGAATGTCAGTACCACTATTGCACCTCTTAGAATATCTTTCCACGTTGAACATTGTGGTTCATAGGCTTTACATCCAGGTAGGATGATTAATTGTTTTTCTACCCTGGGAGCTTACAAAGCTGCTTCTGAACCATTTCTGTCCTCATGAAGCTCACAATCCAGTAAAGTAGACTTTCTTACCTTTGTCCTAGGTTGTGCTTTGAGGATGCACAGTTGCCTGTGCTTCTGTGGGCTATGTAAGCTATGGTAACATGGTGGACGGCAACAGGCAACAGGGTATTGTGCTCAACAGGGTATTTATGGCACCCCACTCTTATAATGACACAGATGGAACATATCAGGGCTATGGAGCCCCTACTACCGATGAAAGTGACATCACTTTAACCAGAGGTTTTCAATAGCAGCACGCTGACATTGTAGATCAGATGCTTAGTTACTGTTGGAGGCTGCCCTACCCATTGTTGGTGGCATACCTCAACCAGCAGGATTCCAGTAGGATCACTTCAAGGTTGTGACTACAGAAACTTGTCTCTAGATTGCCAAAAGTCACCTGGTAAGCAAAGTCACTCCTGGCTGAAAGCAACTGAGAATTTTTTTTTTTTTTTTTTGTTAAACTGTGACTTCAACGGGTTATAACAATGCTTTTCTAATGACCATGTGACAGCCATGCAGGAAAAACCTTTAAACATAAAACATTTTAATTGGGTCAGAGGGTTAATATCAGAAGAAACAGAAAATCATTTTTAGAGAAAAATTTATTAGCTTCAGGATACTCTTAGTTTTATAACATACTCTGGTAGAACCTACAGAATCCTCAGGTCCTGGTAATTCAAGGAGACTTGGATACATACCCCTGTTTAGTAGAATTTAAACATTTTGCATTTCTGATTTTCTTCATTTCTCTCTGTTGCTGTGATAAATCCCATGACCAAAAGCAGTGCATGGAAGAAAGGGTATTTGACTTAAATATTTCAGGTCAGAATCCACTGAGGGAAACCAAGGCAAGAACTACAGACAGACATCTGGATGCAGGAACTGAAGCAGAAGCCACAAGGGTATCTTAGTTGTATCTTGGTTACTGGCTTGCAACCTTGTGACTTGATTAGTCTGTTTTCTAATATCACCTAGGACCACCAGCCTAGGGGTGGCATCACCCATAGTAGGCTCACAGCCTCCTCTTCCCCGATCAAACATCAATCCCAAAAGTGCACACAGATGTGCTTACAAGCGATCTAATGGAGGCATTTTTCTCAATTGAAGTTCTTCCCAGATGACTCTAGATAAACTAACCAGGACATGAAACATCTTTCAAATCCTGAATATTTTTATTTTTCATTTATTTATAAGGTGGGTATTAAAGGAATTAAAAGAGATCTCTTGGGGATTCTGAAGAGATATCGGAGTGAAATGATAGCAGTGGTGGTCCAGCTGGATTTTTAGTGGTCTGTCTAAGCCCAGTGCCAGCAACTCTTCCCAATGCAGAGTGTTGGCCAAGATCCTGACACACGCACGCACACTCACACACACACACACACACAAACACACACGCACGCACGCAAGCACACACACCCTTTTTCTTTCTTCATTGGATACATTGGTGTATGTCCTCATTTTAAAAACCCATATGGGGCTGGAAAGGTATCGTAGTTGATATAAGTACACACTGTGCAAGCACAAGGACTTGAGTTCAATCCCCAGAGTCCACATGAAAAGGCTGGGTGTGGTGGCACATGCTTGTAATCTCAGGGTCGGGGAGGGAGATACAGGCAGACCTCTAGGGCTTGCTAGGCAGTCAGCTGAGAATACTTGGTGAGCTCCACACCAACAAAAGACCCTTTTCCAAAAAAACAAATGAATGACAACCAAGATTCACCTCTACCCTCCGCAGACACATGAACACAGATGCACCTACACAGACACAGATACAGACACACACACACACACACACACACACTAGTTATGAGTGTTGTAAAATATTATATAAATATGGCCTTTGGTAAGGAAATCAATGATAACTGTTATGATCAATGCATCCAATGCTCTTTATAAATGTTCTCAGAACACTTGCCAGCTTGACGAGCAACCTCTCACTAGTGGTGCTACCAGGCATATTGTAGAGGAAGTGATGATAGAGAAGTTTCCTTCTTTTTTAACTTTTCTTAATTCTTTGCTTGAAAGAAATGATTTTATGCTATGAGGAAAAATATATCAGGTGTTTTTTTTTTGAGGGCTCTGCTAGGAAGAATCTTCAGTATTTATGTCAGTGTTGTGAGTTTTAGCTAAGAATCTTATATTTCATAGGCTTTGCTTTGTGCTACCAGTTTCTAAAAATTACATAATGCCTATTGTAGGATAGAGACAAAAATTTAAGTCAATATAAATCTAGGCGTGACCACACGTTTTTATCTGTATATACTAACCTAGCACTCAGAATTTCACTAACCTAGTTTAAAATTAAGCAAAATAAAATCATTTCCCCCTCTTTACTATTGCTAATATTTTAAAGAGAGAGAAGAAGAATTTTTACCACCCTTCTCAACAATCCAAGTCTATGCAAGAGCGCGTGTCCATAGCTGTCTGTGCAGGGGACATCCCTGCATCCCACCGTAGCCCCTGAGGATGGAACTGTCCCAACAGCTGTAATTCAGGTATCCGTTTTCCAGGACTGACTGTATCTGTGAATTGTACAAGGGTTTGGAAAACTGTCTGCTGGCTCTATAGCATCACCCTCACAGTTACATTTTAAAGGGAATTTGAAACTTCCATTTGTTTCTCTGTAGCAGCAACCAATACTATTCTAGAGAAATGCTAATCAAGGCACAGAAACTTTGAACAGGCTGGAATGACATACATGCAGGATTCCAATTTTGGGAGTTAGAGAGGAGGCCATTTGTGGAAGCAGAAGAAGTCTAAAACCTAAGGCACAATATAAACACAAAAGAGAGTGAGCAGTGAATCCAAGAAAGGGTCAGACCCAGGAAATAGAGGGAGGGCAGTTTCAACAAGTAGGCAATAATTAACAGTGACATGTTTGCAACTTTATAGTCCTTGCTTTAGAATAACAATGAAATGGTCACTGTCAGAAACAATTCATGTGAACTGTACTTGTATCTCCTTGTCTTGAGCCCATCACTTGGTCTCATGCTAATAGGGAACCTGGAAGTGCATGCACCTCTAAGGGGGAAGTAAGGGATACTTACCTGAAGGTAGAATTGACTTGCTGGTGAAAATGTACACTCCAGGTGGCTTCCCAGAAAGCTGTGATTCAGGAGACCCTTGGGGTCTGCATTGACCTTCTCAGCTAAATCTGTTGCAGGGGAAGGGGAGAAGGGTAATCCTGGACACCAATTTAGGGAACATACAAGTACTTCTCAGTGCAGCCATCAAGAGGAAGAGAGAGCAAGGGTAAAATAGGTCAAATCATAGTCACAGAGGCTAAAGGTACCTGTGTGCAGCGGCCTGGAGGGCTTGAGGAGGTTTGCAGTTCTCAGAAAGTGGATCTGTGTCTGAAGTAGAGTAGACCTTCATGAGGTCAAGCTGATTAAGACATTGGGAGATGAAGAGGGATGTGAAGCCAACTCTAGGCAATGACCTTCATCTAAAGCATATTTATAAATTAACAGAAGTATATGTCATGTGTTATTATTTCGATTGTTTAATTGTGTTTTCTCTTTCCTTTGTTCCCCTCCTACCCCCTTCCCTTTCTTTCTACTCCTTTATCACCTTCGCCTCCATTTATTCTCAATTTTTCTCTTCTCTTTCCTATTTCACTCTCTCCTCTCCTTCCAATCCTCCTCTTCTCAATACTCCCCCTTCTTTCCATCCTTCTTTGCTCCTTTCTTCCTCGTCTCCCCCATCTATTATTATCTTTCCCCTCTCCCCCTCATTTTTCCTTGCCCATGACCCACCCTTCACTGTCTCTCCAGGTATTATGCCATCTGCTGCCAACCTTTGGTTTACAGAAGCAAGATGACCCCTGTCCGCATTGCACTGATGTTGGGAGGCTGCTGGGCCATTCCCATGCTTATATCTTTTCTCCCCATAATGCAAGGCTGGAACAACATCGGCATAGTTGATGTGGTGAGTATCTACACAGAAGCCACGGGATTATAAATCCATCAACTTTACTGGGCATGCTAGATAAACAGACAATTTTAAGCTGGGTAGCTATTGTAATAGATATTCCAACAGCAGTCTGAGTCATGTTTCTAAATGTCTACTGACAGAGTCTCACCTTGGCCAAATGTTAGTCAGGGTCCTCTGAATTATCTTTCCACTGGACCATGTGTTTTTAAAGTTTATTTATTTATTCTCTGGAAATTTCATGCATGAGCACAATGTATTTAGATCACAGGAACCCCTAGGCACCAAAGTTTGGATTTCCATGTCTATCTTAATTTCTTTGCTGTGCTATGATAAAATACCTTCAAAGACTTGACATCCTTGTCATACAGATCTTTCACTTGCTTGATGAAAGTTAAAATATATCTTGGTTAGAGTTACACCAAGATATATTATTTGAGGTTTTTGTAAAGGGTGTTATGTTCTGATTTCCTTCTTAGTCCTTTTCTCATTTTATATAGGAAGACTACTGATATTTTTTAAGTTAATCTTGTATCCAACCACTTGACTAAAGGTATTTATCAGCTGTGGGAGTTCCTTGGTAGAGTTTTTTGGGGTCACTTATGTATAGTATCATAGCATCTGTGAATAAAGTACCCAAAAATAAGTAACTGAAGGGAGAAATGGCTTATTTTAGCCCACAGTTTAAGATACCATCATGGCAGAGAAACTAAGGCAGTAGGAACTTGAAGCAGCAAATCCCACAATGTCCATAGTCAAAGAAGATCAATGAATGCACATTATGACTCAGTCATCTCTGCTGGTTTCCACATTCCAGAACTCCTGCTCACAACTGGGATGGATCTCCCCACATCAGTTACTGAAGATAACCCCCCACAGATATACCCAGAGGGCTTTTTTGCTGGTGATCCCAAGTTCAGTCAGGTTAACAGCTAATTCTGAGCAACGCATTGCCCAATTGTGCATTGCTCAGTGTCAGCAGGCATGCTGATAAGCTGGTTTAACTAGCATCCCTACCCTCAGTAAAGGATCGGGCACATTCTCCTTCACCTTCCCCAGGTTGTGTCTGATTGCCCTGGCTTGTCTTCTGCAAGAATCCTGCTAAGTTGACTCAGCTCGAATCCCACTTGCTCCTCTCGTTTCCTCTTCCTAATTTTCTGTCCACTGAGCCTCATCAACCAACTCCTTGGCTATAAGTCCCCACTTTTTTTGTTGTGTTTAGAGTTGGAGTTCATTTCTTTCTGCAAAACTCACAGTAGCTTCTCGTATTTATAATAATGTAAAGGCTGCTTTAGCAAGTGTTTCAAATCATTTTTTTTACATTACTGGATATTGAAAAGTACAATAAGCACTTTACATGTAACCCCCAGAGAATCCCTTTTTGGAAAAGTTTAAACATATGCACTTTAATGATGAGCGGATTAAGTTGCATTTCTCATGCCACATAGCTTTCCTGTAGGTGAACAGGGACTCACTATTTAATAATCAGTTCCTGGAACGGGGGATATATCCTATGTCCTGAGAAGCATTCATCCTATTTCGTGTTCAGAGTCTTTAAGGTGTGCAGTGCCTGGGGAAAAACATGCCAGGTAAATGTGGTCTGCCAGGGAATGAAAAGAGTCCTGGGCCAGAAGTCAGAGAGCTAACCAGTGACCCCAGCTCTGTTAATGTCCAACTTCCTAAGGGTTGTATTAAGAAGGGAAGCTGGTACTGAGTGAAAATGGTGTCTAAAATGCGTGTTAAGGGCACATATGTTACATATGCTATGCATTGCCCAAACCCTGGGTATTGGTTTTCCAGAGAAACAGAACCAACAGGATTTTTGTATGTGTGTATATATATGTATGCATATATGTATATTATCTATCTATCTATCTATAGTCTATCTATATCATCTATCTATCATCTATATGCCTTTTTCTTGTCATGTATCTGTCCATCTATCTACTTATATACTTTTATTTAAAAAAGTAACAGAGTCAGAAAATAGACAAATTATAACTGATCCACATGGTTGTGGAAGTTGAAAAGTCTCAGCACATTAGAGACTCAGGAGAACCAATATTTCAGTCCAGGGCCAAAGATAGGAAAAACTGATAGCCCTTAATTAAGACAATGATAGAGCAATCCGCTTTCTTGTTCTGATCAAACCTTTAATAGGTTGGCTTCAGCGTTAAATTAGAAGAGAAAACTGATGTATACAGTCTATCAGTTCAGAGTTTCATCTCAACCAAAAATATTATACTCAGAATAGGGCTTTACCAAACTTCCGGGTACCCCATGGCTTAGTTAAGTTGACACATAATTGCCGCGCACAAGCCCCAGTGTCTGCGCTTGGTGCACTATTACCCAGTTACCGAGCTTCGGCCAAGGGGCTGGAGGTTAAAATACACAGACACACACAGACAGAGAGACAGTAACATGGGTTATCCTTGAATTCCCCAAGAATGCCCCCTTTATTGTGTTCAGGGGCAGATTATATAGAGATGGCCACGCCCCAGCAAAACCCACCAGAAACCACTCTCCTGTGATCAGGAACTCCTGAAGGTCTCGTGCTCAGAGCAGCTGTAGGCACTCAGATCAGGGGATTACAAGAAATTCAGGTTCTGGGGTCTCACTGCTTCCAAGACATAACATTAACCATCTCACTTTAAAATCATCTTTAAGAGTTCTACTCTGGCATACAAGAATTATAATGATGATTAAAACTGACAATCTGGATCCATTGGCAGGGCTATGGAAAATGACATGCAGTCACTTAAAGTCAGTCCTCCGAGGATGTGGGGAAGAGAATAGAAAGAAGAGACTGAGAATGGGTGCTGGCCCAGAAGGACCAGAAAAGGGAGAATGCCCCTTCCTTTTTACACAGAATGATTTTAACTTCCTCTTTGAATAGGAAACAGCATTCATTCAAATCCCATGGCAGGACTTACGTTTCAGAACAAGTGCTTGAGCCCCTGAAAACGTACTAGAGGCAGGGAGTAGAGAGGTAGGGACTCCTTCCTGAGAACCTGTGGATAATTTCTTCAACCCTATACCTTTCTTTCAGAATGTTAGGTTTTGTTTTGTTGTTTGTTTTTTCACTTGGAGGGAAAATGAAATACCAGCTTCCAAGTGCTATTTTTCAAATACCAGTTGTAATAATGGTCAACAAATGTTTTGTACTTACTGTGTATCAAGCCTCACATTAATCACCATTCCAGTGAGCCTCATTAAGGACATTCTTGGCTCAGTTGAAACACAGAAGTTGGAGAGGTGGTCTTGGGCCAGATAATGTTTCGTTTGTTTGTTTGTTTATACTTTGAAAAATGGTAGGGTTTTTTTCAACTTTGAAATTGGAGGATTCAGAAGAATTATCTTAGTCAGCCTGCAGAAAATAGTGATAGGGCTGTAGAGAACTGGGAAAACCCTGAGGAGAGATTTAGTTCTGCTGGGTGATGAGGGTAATGAGTAGGGTGCCAGTCACCTGAAGTGGTGAGACGGTTGGAGAGTTTAGATGTTTTCTCATTCTGTGTTGATTGGACACCCGCTTTTCTAGGTGCTGGGGCTGCATCACTGAGCAGAGCTGGTAATGGTTCAAATCCTCGTAACTTTATATCCAACCAGGGAGATGCAAGCAGCAAGTGATACACTAAAAATCAGCAGGTATCTAGCATGTGAGGCGATAATGACTATATTTTACGTCAGTTTGGGGCTGAAGAGATGGCTCAGAAGTAAGAATGTGGACAGAAGCCACACCACTCAGAACTGCCTGTAACTCCAGTTCCAGGGAATGCAACACCCCTGGCCTCCCTGGCAACCTGTTCACACGTGCACACACCCACATGTGGGTGCACGCACCCACACACACACAATTTTCAAATATTAAATCTTTATAAGGTGGGTTGCTAGCAGATTGAAAGTCTAAATAGGGAGATCGAGTAGGCTCTATTGAGAAGGTGACATTTGAATAAAAACTTTAGGGAGATGGAGGAATTATACTGGTATGTATCTTTGAGAAGCATGCTGTGGGCATAAAACAGTTGATACAAAGGTCCAGAGGCAAGATGACCCTGTCATAAGCCGATACAAAGTTAATGTGTAGGTAAGAAAGCAGGAGAAGAGTTTAAGAGATGATAAAATACAATAAATAGGAAAATAATGTGTTGTTCTGAGGGACATTAAAGGCATCAGATTCAACTTTGAGAGATATGGATTGCTGTAGGGTCTGAGCATGTTATTAATATGATTTATAATATTTTGAAAGAATCTTCATTTTTTCTGTTAAAAAGTCTGCTAAAGTAATGTCATGGGTAAGAGGTACTTTCAGTGGGAGTGATGGAGATCGTGATTCAGAATATAGGTAGGTTTTTAATATAAGCAGGATCGTCCGTATGGTTGGAAGAGAAATGGTAAAGGGAAACTTTAGTTTAATACAACTAAGATTTTGGTCAGAACAACTGGAAAAATGGAGAGAATGACTATTGATTTCAGCTGGAAATTCCAGATTGGAAGTACTGTAGGATAAGTTCTATGGGATAGAAAGCACAACATAAGTGTTAAATATCTGTTAAAAAATAGTGATATTTTAGTGCAACAGTGAAGTAATCAGCTTATTATCAAACCATGATATTTATGGGAATTCTCTACGAGAAACAAACAACACATTTATATCATTCTCAGAGCTAGATGCTATTTAAGCCCATACAAGTAGATGTAATCACCTGGGGAGTGAAGATATGTAAGAGAAGATGTCTAAGAACTGAAAAAGCCACTAATGGAGGGTTGGAAGATACAACTAAGAAGGAAGCATAAAAAAAAGAGGGAAAATTCTAGAAAACCAATTTAAAAACACATCAAAGACTGGAGAATGCTTTTTCTGGGTATGACAACAACTGTCCTAGCTATGACTATAAGGATGAGTAAAATGTATTATATTCAAAAACCAGTATCAGGAATTGTAGTTCATGCCAATAGCCATAGGCTTTTAAGAAGCAGATGCAGGAGAATTTATGGTC